GGCGGCCCCCTATGTCCTGGACCAGAGAGATGCTCCCTCATACTCCAGGTCCCTGGGTGAAGCCCTGGGTGGGGGGCCGCTGGGGCCTGCTCCAGTCTGCCACTGGCTCCCACCACCCGCCGTGGGTCAGCAGCCCTTAGTGCTATACAGTAGGAGGAGTTTCCCACCTTCACAGCTCTCCCTGAACCTACTGCTTGGGAGCCGCCACCACAGACCTCAGGCTGAGCTCACAACTCATGATGATGAGGAGAAGGGAGAGGAAGCTAAGGCTTCACACCTTTGGAAGCCAACGGCCTTAGCAGATCTAGAAAATCAAGTCCTCATCCATTGGCACAAAACAGAGTGAGAGAAAAGGCTGTGTGTGGATAAAGAGTGATCACGAGGGATAAAATGAGCCGCTGATTAACTCGGCAACTGGGGTCCAAGACAGAGGAACAGCCATCCAACCACACAAACAACCAACCACACAAACATACAACCAAACAACTATACAACCAAACAAACGAACAACAACACACCAACCAAATAACCACACACTAACCAGCCAACCAACCAACCAACCACAAACCAACCAACCAATCACAGAGCCAACCAACCAACCAACCACAAACCAACCAACCAATCACAGAGCCAACCAATCAACCACACAAGTATCCACGAACCAACCAACCATTCACACAAATAACCAAACACATGAACAACCATACAACCAACCAACCTGCCACTTAACTAATCAACTATACAACTAACATACCAAATAAACAAGCACAAAACCAAACCACAACAGAGCAATCTATCCAACATGATGGGTGTGTGGTTTACCTGAGCACTTATAATTTGAAACATGAAAACCTGTTCTTCTGTAAAAATTGGAAGTCTCTGAGAGAAGGGCAAAAGAAACTAATGAAATTCATATTAGATGTTTTAAATGTCAAAAGATTCCAAGGGAGTCCTGGATATGCTAATAGACACACACAAAATTCTCTGCAGGTTTAATTATTATTGGCTGTGTTTGATTCACTTACAGCCAACTGTAGCTCTAGGGTGTCTGAGCACAAGGGTAAAGTAGAATTTAGGAAAAGGTAAGTCACAGCTACAGCCTCCAGTCTAGAGATGACAGAGGCCTTGACTTTTGGAAGATGCTCAGCCAAGATGAAGAGCGGATCCAAATACTGCTGCTCTTCCCAAGGACTTGGGCTGACGCTGGGTCTAGCTGTGGACCCAGGCTCTGAAGAGACACTTCTGAGGATGCAGCGAGAGGACGGCTTCTGGTTTTCTAGTCTACAAAGCTCTCAGCAGCCTTCTGTTGTGAGTGTGGCTAAAAGGAATTTCTAACGGCAAATAAAGTGCCCAAGTTGCCAAACTGGAAAATCGTTTACTCCCCCCCCCAAAAAAAAAACCAAAAAAAAACCCAAAAAACAAGAAACTCTTTCAGATACTCATGTTTTTAGTATGTATTCTCTCTTTTCTTGTGGATAGTAAGAGAGATCTTACCTATGCACATACCATTTTCAATTAGGGCAAACTGTACATTTATTAACAAAATTACTAATCAACATTGAAAAGGGGTTCAGGGAGGCAGTTCTGTTTCAGTGACAGAATGAGAGGGAAGCCATGAGATGCTCCCAAGGATCCCACACAAGGCAGACCATCTGCAGCTGAGCCATGTTGGAGCTCCCAACATGTTGGAGATCCTTGGGAGCATGGCTGGAGCAGGTGGGATTCAGTCCTGCATTTGCCGTATGTTTTCCCTCTCTCAGCTTGCTGAGAGTTGCCTTTGTGTTCATCAGCTCTCCCATTCCCACTCTGTCGGCCTGGTGATACACGGGAGTCTGGGAAGGAGGTCTCAGAGACCTCCTGTGAGACCTCAGAGAGACCACAGCCCAACGGTGGAGGATGGAACTATGCCAAATATGCCACATGGGGCTAGCCGTGCACAGGTTGAGCCTAGACCAGGTTGAGGACCCTGCGGGACAGACTTGGTCTTCATGCTCATACTTCCCCAACACTGCACAGGGGGATCCCGGGCATTTATAAGGTGCTTGCTGAGGATGTAGGGGAGGTTGGGAAGCTTCTCCTTGGCCCCCTGGGTTCTGGGCGGGGGCCCTGGAGGTTCACCCAAGGAAAATAGAGTGACACCCAAAAACAGCAGAGACCATTAGCAGGTAGATGGCGACCCTGACAGGAGAGGTTCCCAGGTGCAGCTAGGGGTGTTGGAGTCTGGGCTCACGCACATCTGAACAAAGAACAAACATCTTGTAGTGAGGTCACAACCCAGAGGAAGGGGGTTAGGCTTTTAGGGGCAGCAAACCAGGGATGGTAGACATTGGAGAACTAGTGAGGGTACAGTTATTCAGGACCAGTGTATCTGCTCGTGTGAGTGAGGGTCTAGCACCTGCCCTCCTCTTGCTGGTCGGGGACAGAGGGGGATGCCTTTACAGATGGGATTGATGCCCTGGTTTTAGGCAAATGGGAGGGGGCAGGTATAGAGAGCTGCTCCTTCTCATTTGTCTTCAGCTCAAAATCACTGATATGCAAAGTGGCTTGTGTTGGGGGGTTGGTGCTGTGGCCCCTGTGAGGGGCCCTCTGGCTCCTCGTAGGGCCATCCAGCTGGAGTGCAGAGTGCCAGGGGCCTGCCAGGAGCGGTCAGGAAGGAGCAGGCCAGGGCTCGAGGGAGGAACCAATGTGGAGCAGGTGGGGGACACCCCGTGTGTGGTTAGCAGTGGAGCTCCTGGAAGTCTCTGCAAATGTCTGGAGAAGCCCAGCAGACTCTGGGCCGCAGACAGAAACATTCTGTCTCCTCAGAGCCCAGGGCTGCGTCCTGGAAGATGGGGTCCTTGTGCACCAAGGAGTCCTTTCCTCGGTTCCAGCCAATGGAGAACAGAAGCACCCGTGTTCTTCCCGCTGCGGGAGAGCCGCAGCCCAGGGGGCGGCAGGTCAGGCCCCTGCTGGAGTGGAGCCCGATCTCTGTGCCTCCTTTGGACAAACAGCTACTCGAGTCCTTTGCCCATCTGTTATCTCAGCTGGTTTTGTTTGTGCGTGTGTTTAGCACACATTTTTATGAATCACTTCAATGTCACATGAGCCTTGTGACCCGGCCACTTGAGTTCTCCAAACCTGGGCATCCTCGGGGGATAAAGTCACCGTCTTCCTCAGCCCCGTACCGGGAGGAATTCCTTGACCTGGAGTGACCACACAGACTGTCTCCGACGCCATGACCCGAGGGATGTGGGCGTGGGCAGGAGTGGCCATGAGGAGCAGCTGTCCACCTGCTGCCCCACCCACAGGCGTGTCCCCCAGCTGCCCCAGAGACGCCCTTCCAACCAGCATCCCAGTGGTGGTTACACCTGCATTAGGCCGTGTCTCTTCGGCATCCACTCTGGAGAAATGGGTCAGTTGTCCTGGGAGTGGCCCGCGTTCCCTGGGAGGCCGCTGTTTGCTCTCTTTTGAGCCCGCCTTCCTGGGGCCAGGGGAAGGTCCCGTCTCTGGGGTCAGTGTGTGACTCTGGTGACACTTGGCGCCTGCGGGCATTCTGTCCCTAGAGCACTCTGCGGATTGCTCCCACCGTTGGTGATGCTCTCCGGAACTGGGGTGCGTGGACACCAGGGGTGGGTGCCACACTCGCTCCTTTTCCTACTCCACCCCCCTCCCACAGTACCTGCCAGGCCTTCCTGTCCCCGTCACCTGAGGGCGACCACAGCTCCTCCTAAGAAGGAGGTGATGCTTCCAACATTCCTGGTGGTCGCCAGCTTTCCAGGAGGACTGGGTTTGATGGTCGCCTCCATGGGGGTAGGCGAGTGCTCTCTGTCTCTCCCTCCCATCTCTCTTGCCTCCTTATGGACTCGTGTACTTTCCTTGGGCCGACAGCCGCCCCTTCCAGCTGGCCCCTGGGTCCCTCGGGCGTGCAGCGTCTTTGGGTGCCTCCTTGCTCTCTGCAAGCTCCACATGCAGGCGAATCTCATCCTTTCTATGCCCCAGAGCTGGGATCGGCCGTTTCTCCAAGGAGCGCACGGGTGATTTCTTAAAATGTACATCTCAGAAGCAGAATCAGTATCTTTGAGAATCCCTCTTTGCCACAGGCCCCCACACAATGTGGTTCGTAGCATTGGGCAGGTGTGGGGGGCCTTCACCCCACCAAAGCTGCGCCAATCTGCCCGCACATAAGGTGCTGAATACAAAACCAGAATGTCAGGTTTCTTCCTGCCCTAGACGGACACCTGAACTGGACCAGAGCGTGGATATCCACCCCAAATAGCCCACGCTGACTTGCAGCATCCAATTCAATGCAACTGAAACACCGCTTTTGTGTGACTCTACCCATCAGAAGGAGGCCGGTCCAAGCCAGGGAGCGACGGCCGAGCTGCGGGCTTCTCAAAGACCACTGAGGGCCCCGGGGCCAGAGCACCGAGCGTCTCCAGGGCACGAACTCCCCGGTGGTTCATTTGGCTAAAATTACTTTACTGCATTTTTCTGCCTTTTCCAAACCACCGCACAGATGGGACCCCAGACCTATTTCTAAATCACACCGAGGGAGAGTCCACTGTCAGCTTGCACAATGCACCCCAGTGTTTTAATTCGGGATCTTCTCATCACGAATGAGCATATTTTAAGTCTCTGCAACCCCAGCCACCGCCTCTGGCTCCACCAGGCCAGGCGGCAGCCGCCCCCGCGGCCCACAGACCGTTCTCGGGTGCACGTCCCGCCCGGCCCGCGGGGTCCGCACCGCCGCAGCGCGTCTGCGGGTCGCGAGGCCACAGGCCTCGGTGCCGGGCCCAGCGTGGGCACCGCGGGCAGCGCATCCCTCCCGCCGCGGGCAGCTGCGTCCTCCCGCGGGGCCGCCTCCTCCCATGCGTGCCGCCCCCGGGGCCAAGCGCAGCCTCGTCCTGCCGCCCAGGCCGTGCCCCGGGGCCCTGGGGGCGAGGGCTCCCCCGCGAGGCCGGGTCAGCGTGGCCATAACCCGCCCTTAGGGCGTCCTCCTTGACGTCGCAGCACCTGCGGCCATGGACGGGCGGACACAGGAGGCCGGGACCCCGCGCCCTCCGCAGCCGCATCCCGAGCCCGCGGCGCCCTGCGTCCGCCCGACAGCACCAGGCGCGGCCCCGAGGTCGCCCCGCTCCTGCCGCAGCTCCGCGGCCGCGTCGGGTCGGGCCAGCGCCGGGTCCGCTCGGAGTCTGCTTGGGGCCGCGCCCGCCACGGCTGAGCTGGGGGCACGGAGCGGCCACGCGGGCACCGGGCCTCGGGCGCGCAGGAGGCGTGCGGCGTCGCAGGGCACCGCAGACCGGGCACCGCGAACCGGGCGCCGGGGACCAGGGCACCGCAGACCAGGGCACCGCGGACCAGGGCACCGCAGACCGGGCACCGCAGACCAGGGCACCGCGGACCAGGGCACCGCGGACCAGGGCACCGCAGACCGGGCACCGCAGACCAGGGCACCGCGGACCAGGGCACCGCAGACCGGGCACCGCAGACCAGGGCACCGCGGACCAGGGCACCGCAGACCGGGCACCGCAGACCAGGGCACCGCGGACCAGGGCACCGCGGACCAGGGCACCGCAGACCGGGCACCGCAGACCAGGGCACCGCAGACCAGGGCACCGCGGACCAGGGCACCGCGGACCAGTGCACCGCAGACCAGGGCACCGCAGACCAGGACACCGCAGACCGGGCACCGCAGACCAGGGCACCGCAGACCGGGCACCGCAGACCAGGGCACCGCGGACCAGGGCACCGCAGACCGGGCGCCGCGGACCAGGGCACCGCAGACCAGGGCACCGCAGACCAGGGCACCGCGGACCAGGGCACCGCGAACCGGGCACCGCGAACCGGGCGCCGCGGACCAGGGCACCGCAGACCGGGCACCACAGACCAGGGCACCGCAGACCGGGCGCCGCGAACCGGGCGCCGCGGACCAGGGCACCGCGGACCAGGGCACCGCAGACCGGGCACCGCGAACCGGGCGCCGCGGACCGGGCACCGCAGACCAGGGCACCGCGGACCAGGGCACCGCGGACCAGGGCACCGCGGACCAGGGCACCGCGGATCGGGCACCGCAGACCCGGCACCGCGGACCAGGGCACCGCAAACAGGGCACTGGGGCTCCCCCTCCCCCGCCCCGCCCCCCGCCCCCTCTCGCCCCCAGTCCTCCCCCCCCACGGCCCCGCCCTCGGTTCGCCCCCTCCCCCACCCCCCACCCCCCGCCGGACGGGGCCCCTGGCGGCTGCAGCCTGGAGCTGCGGGGTCCCCGGGGCCACGCGCTCCACGCAAGTGACTGGGGGGGCGGCGGTGCCCGGCCTGTCTCCCAGGGGAGGTCTGCGGGGCTGCGTGCGCGCCTCCGAAGGACTCCGGGGACCTGGGAGCTGGGTCCCGGCCGGCGCGAGGGGCCACCTGAGCTCGGGCGTGGGAGCCTCGGGCCTCGGCGTCTCCCCAGGGCTGGGAACGCCTGCAGGTGCTCCCGGCCCCAGGGCCCGCGGGCGCAGGGGCCTTCGCAGGCGGACGAGGCGGCCTGGCCCCTGTGGGCAGAGCTGCTTGGGGAGGCTCCAGGGGACGCGGCCTCGGGCTCCGGGCTCGGCGGCAGGGGTGCGGCTTGTGCCCGCGGGCCCAGGGAAGCTGGGTCCGGAGACATCTGGGTGCATCTGCGCCGGCCTGGAGCCCTGCCCCGGGGGCCCAGGGGGCACGCGCTCGCCCTTGTGCCCGGGTCACGGCCAGCTGGCGCGCGTCCATTCCCGGAGCTCAGAGCTTGCACGCTCTTCTCTTACTTTTCGGTTTCACCTGCTCATGGAGTGTTCAGTCTCGTGAAAACCCAGGTCTGCTGATGAGACTGAGGATCTGGCTTCAGAGTTTTCTCCCTATAATGAGCGAGTTTCTCAATCTCGACCTTTAAAAAAAAAAAATCTGCCCTTTGGGGAGGTCGTGGTAAGTCGTCTTCGGAGGATGGAGTCTCGGTGCGCCTGCCATGCGCTGATGTGTTCTGCGCTCATCCTCACAGCCCCGGTCAGTCCCGCTTTGTGCAACGTTCCACGGTGAGGTAAGGAGAGTCCCTCTTTTGCTTTGCATTTTAAAACTGATTTGCCTATTCATAAATGTTCATTTTTCATATAAATTTCACATGGTATTTTTGAGTTTACCTAAAATTCTAGCTGGGGATTTTATCTGGATTGCAAAGAACACACTTGACTACTGCTGACGGGTTTACGGTGTTGCATCACATCCAAAAATATGTATCTCCCCATTTGTCCTCATCTCTGTTGTTGTTCAGTAGAGTTTAACAGACTCCATAAAAGTCCGGTGCATTCTCTGTTAGGTCGATTCTTGGTTATTCATCCATTAGACAGTCATCCCTTTAATACGTACTCACTGAGAGCCTGGGTGGCTCAGCAGTTGAACCTCTGCCTTCAGCTCAGGTCGTGACCCCAGGGTCCCGAGATCTAGTCCCCGTCAGGCTCCCTACAGGGAGCCTGCTTCTCCCTCTGCCTGTGTCTCTACCTCTGTGTTTCTCATGAATAAATAAATCTCTAAAAAAACAAACAAAAACAAAAACAAAACAAACAAAAAAAAACCATACTCACTGAGTACTTTCCCGGACAGGCCATAGCACTCAGGGCCATGGTAAAGAAAACAAGCCAGGCCCAGCCCTATTGGGAGTAAGATTCCCTAGGAATATATGGAATAGAAGGCATATTCTACAGCTATATGTGGATGGTACCTTAGTACATAATGGTATAGAATGTAAAGGGATATTCTAGCACATGTAGTTTATTCCTTTTTATGACACTTTTAATTTTTAAGATATTTTCTTTAAATTCAACTTGCCGGGATCCCTGGGTGGCACAGCGGTTTGGTGCCTGCCTTTGGCCCAGGGTGTGATCCTGGAGACCCGGGATCGAGTCCCACATCGGGCTCCCGGTGCATGGAGCCTGCTTCTCCCTCTGCCTGTGTCTCTGCCTCTCTCTCTCTCTCTCTGAGACTATCATAAATAAATAAAAAATTTAAAAAAATAAATAAATTCAACTTGCCAACATATGGTATAACACCCAGTGCTCATTCTGTCAAGTGCCCCCCTCAGTACCCATCACCCAGTCACCCCCTGCCCCCGCCCACCTCTCCTTCTGCGACCTCTTGTTCATTTCCCAGAGTTAGGATTTTCTCATGATTTGTCTCCCTCTCTAATTTTTCCCACTCATTCTCCCTCCTTTCCCCTTTAATCCCTTTCACTATTTCTTATATTCCAGATGAGTGAAACCATGTGATGATTGTCCTTCTCCAATGGACTGACTTCCCTCAGCATCATACCCTCCAGTTCCAACCACATTCAAGCAAATGGTGGGTATTCATCATTTCTAATGCCTGAGGAATATTCCACTGTATACATAAACCACATCTTCTTTATCCATCATCTGTCGATGGACACCGAGGCTCCTTCCACAGTGTGGCTATTGTGGACATTGCTGCTAGAAACATCGGGATGCAGGTGTCCCGGCGTTTTACTGCATCTGTATCTTTGGGGTAAATCCCCAGCAGTGCAACTGCTGGGTCGTAGGGCAGGTCTATTTTTAACTCTTTGAGGAACCTCCACACAGTTTTCCAGAGTGGCTGCACCAGGTCACATTCCCACCAACAGTGCAAGAGGGTTCCCCTTTCTCCGCATCCTCTCCAACATTTGTGGTTTCCTGCCTTGTTAATTTTCCCCATTCTCACTGGTGTGAGGCGGGATCTCATGGTGGTTTTGATTTGTATTTCCCTGATGGCAAGTGATGCAGAGCATTTTCTCATGTGCCTGTTGGCCATGTCTATGTCTTCCTCTGTGAGATTCCTGTTCATGTCTTTTGCCCATTTCATGATTGGATTGTTAGTTTCTTGGGTGTTGAATTTAATAAGTTCTTTATAGATCTTGGAAACTAGCCCTTTATCTGAGAGGTCATTTGCAAATATCTTCTCCCGTTCTGTAGGTTGTCTTTTAGTTTTGACTGTTTCTTTTGCTTTGGTGAAGTTTCTTATCTTGATGAAGTCCCAATACTTCACTTTTGCTTTTGTTTCTCTTGCCTTCATGGATGTATCTTGCAAGAAGTTGCTGTGGCCAAGTTCAAAAAGGGTGTTGCCTGTGTTCTCCTCTAGGATTTTGATGGAATCTTGTCTCACATTTAGATCTTTCATCCATTTTGAGTTTATCTTTGTGTCTGGTGCAAGAGAGTGGTCTAGTTTCATTCTTCTGCATGTGGATGTCCAATTTTCCCAGCACCATTTATTGAAGAGACTGTCTTTCTTCCAGTGGATCGTCTTTCCTCCTTTGTCGAATATTAGTTGACCATAAAGTTGAGGGTCAGGATCCCTGGATGGCTCAGCGGTTTAGCACTGCCTTGGGCCCAGGACCTGATCCTGGAGTCCCGGGATCGAGTCCCACATTGGGCTCCCTGCATGGAGCCTGCTTCCCCTTCTGCCTGTGTCTCTGCCTCTCTCTCTCTCTCTCTTTCTCTGTATCTCTCATAAGTAAATAAATTTTTTTTAAAAAAGTTGAGGGTCCACTTCTGGGTTCTCTATTCTGTTCCATTGATCTATGTGTCTGTTTTTGTGCCAGTACCACACTGTCTTGATGAGCACAGCTTAGTAGTATAACCTGAAATCTGGCATTGTGATGGTTTTCTTTTTCAATATTCCCCTGGCTATTCGGGGTCTTTCTGATTCCACACAAATCTTAAGATAATTTGTTCCAACTCTCTGAAGAAAGTCCATGGTATTTTGATAGGGATTGCATTACATGTGTACATTGCCCTGGGTAACATTGACATTTTCACGGTATTAATTCTTCCAATCCATGAGCATGGAATATTTTTCCATCTCTTTGTGTCTTCCTCAATTTCTTTCAGAAGTGTTCTGTAGTTTTTAGGGTATAGATCCTTTACCTCTTTGGTTAGGTCTATTCCTAGGTATCTTATGCTTTCAGGTGCGATTGTAAATGGGATTAACTACTTAATTTCTCTTTCTTCAGTCTCAGTGTATAGAAATGCCACTGACTTCTGGGCATTGGTTTTGTATCCTGCCACACTGCCAAATTGCTCTGTGAGTTCTAGCAATCTTGGGGTGGAGGCTTTTGGGTTTTCTATGTAGAGTATCATGTCATCTGCGAAGAGGGAGAGTTTGACTTCTTCTTTGCCAATTTGAATGCCTTTTATTTCTTTTTGTTGCCTGATTGCTGAGGCCAGGACTTCTAGTACTATGGTGAATAGCAGTGGTGAGAGTGGACATCCCTGTCGTGTTCCTGATCTTAGGGGAAAGGCTCCCAGTGTTTCCCCATTGAGAATGATATTTGCTGTGGGCTTTTCGTAGATGGTTTTTAAGATGCTGAGGAATGTTCCCTCAATCCCTACACTCTCAAGAGTTTTGATCAGGAATGGATGCTGTATTTTGTCAAATGCTTTCTCTGCATCTCTTGAGAGGATCATATGGTTCTTGGTTTTTCTCTTGTTGATATGATCTATCACATTGATTGCTTTCCGAGTGTTGAACCAGCCTTGCATCCCGGGGATAAATCCCACTTGGTCATGGTGAATAATCTTCTTAATGTACTGTTGGATCCTATTGGCTAGTATCTTGTTGAGAATTTTTGCATCCATGTTCATCAGGGATATTGGTCTATAATTCTCCTTTTTGGTGGGGTCTTTGTCTGGTTTTGGAATTAAGGTGATGCTGGCCTCATAGAACGAGTTTGGAAGTACTCCATCTCTTTCCATCTTTCCAAACAGCTTTAGTAGAATAGGTATGGTTTCTTCTTTAAACGTTTGATAGAATTCCCCTGGGAAGCCATCTGGCCCTGGACTTTTGTTTCTTGGGAGGTTTTTGATGACTGCTTCAATTTCCTCCCTGGTTATCAGCCTGTTCAGGTTTTCTATTTCTTCCTGCTCCAGTTTTGGTAGTTTGTGGCTTTCCAGGAATGTGTCCATTTCTTCTAGATTGCCTAATTTATTGGTGTATAGCTGCTAATAATATGTTTTTCAAATAGTTTGTATTTCCTTGGTGTTGGTGGTGATCTCTCCTTTGTCGTTCATGATTTTATTAATTTGATTCTTTTCTCTCTTCTTTTTAATAAGGCTGGCTAATGGTTTATCTATCTTATTAATTCTTTCAAAGAACCAACTCCTGGTTCTGTTGATCTGTTCCACAGTTCTTCTGGTCTCGATTTCATTGAGTTCTGCTCGAATCTTTATTAACTCTCTTCTTCTGCTGGGTGTAGGATCTATTTGCTGTTTTTTCTCCAGCTCCTTGAGGTGTAAGGTTAGCTTTTGTATTTGAGTACTTTCCAGTTTTTGGATGGATGCTTGTATTGCGATGTATTTCCCCCTCAGGACTGCTTTTGCTGCATCTCAAAGATTTTGAAAGGTTGTATCTTCATTCTCATTAGTTTCCATGAATCTTTTTAATTCTTCCCTAATTTCCTTGTTGACCCTTTCATCTTTTAGCAGGAGGGTCCTTAACCTCCACGTATTTGAAGTCCTTCCAAACTTCTTCTTGTGATTTATTTCTAGTTTCAAAGCATTATGGTCTGAAAATACGCAGGGGACGATCCCAATCTTTTGGTATCGGTTAAGCCCTGATTTGTGACCCAGTATGTGGCCTATTCTGGAGAAAGTTCCATGTGCACTTGAGAAGAATGTGTATTCAGTTGCGTTTGGATGTAAAATTCTGTAAATATCTGTGAAATCCATCTGGTCCAGTGTATCATTTAAAGCTCTTGTTTCTTCGGAGATGTTGTGCTTAGAATATCGTCGATTGTAGAAAGTTCTGTGTTCAAGTCAGCAAGTTTAAGTGTATTATTATCTAAGTATGTCTTAACTTTGGTTATTAATTGATTGATATACTTGGCAGCTCCCACATTCGGGGCATAAATATTCATGATTGTTAGCTCCTCTTGTCGGGTAGATCCTTTAAGTATGAGATAGTGTCCCTCTTCATCTCTTACTACAGGCTTTGGGATAAACTTTAATTTATCTGATATGAGGATTCTGCTCATTTCTTGACTGGATTTTTTGGGGTGTTGAGTTTGATAAGTTCTTTTTTTTATTTTTTTTTAATTTATTTATTTATGATAGTCACAGAGAGAGAGAGAGAAGAGGCAGAGACACAGGCAGAGGGAAAAGCAGGCTCCATGCACCGGGAGCCCGATATGGGATTCGATCCCGGGTCTCCAGGATCACGCCCTGGGCCAAAGGCAGGCGCCAAACCGCTGCGCCACTCAGGGATCCCGATAAGTTCTTTATAGATCTTGGATACTAGCCCTTTATCTGAATTGTCATTAGCAAATATCTTCTCCCATTCTGTTGGTTGACTTTTGGTTTTGTCGACTGTTTCCTTTGCTGTACAGAAGTTTTTTTATCTTGATGAAGTCCCAACAGTTCATTTTTCTTTTGTTTGCCTTGCCTTTGAGACATGTTTTGCAAGAATTTACTATGGCCAAGTTCAAAAAGGTTGCCTGGGATCCCTGGGGGGCTCAGTGGTTGAGCGTCTGTCTGCCTTCGGCTGAGGTCCTGACCCCGGATCCAGGATGAAGTCCCACATCGGGCTCCCTGCAGGGAGCTTGCTTCTCCCTCTGCCTGTGTCTGCCTCTCTCTCTCTGTGTCTGTCATGGATAAATAAAATCTAAAAAAAAAGAAAAAGAAGAGACTGATAGAGGCATACTCGTGACTTTGTAGATCCCCTCTGGTGGCCGGTGTGCAAGGACACCCACACTGGGGTTGGGAATGCACAGTAGGAAGAGTTCACTTTCAGCTAATTGTTAAAGGTAGTCAACGTCTCGAGTAAAATGTTAAAGTGTTCAGTGTTTGATAAACGATGAAACCAAGTTCTCACGTTAAAGATGTTGGAATAAATCTTGTTTATGGTCCTATTTCAGCAGGCAAGTTAAAGGTTTCTTTGAGTGGGTTCCTGGCTTTTCTGCTGGTGTCGGCTGCCAGCAGGGGGTATTTCTTGCCGCTGGGAAACATGTAGGTCGTGACCTCATCATCCCTGAGGAGTCCTTGGTAAGTCCTGGGTTTTCCAATCCATCTCCTGCAGGGATCCGTCTGGACGGCTTTCCAGTCCTCCTGTAGGTGCGCTGCGTCCAAATGTGTGGGCTGGCTAGGGTCAAGGTCAGGGCAGGTAGGCCAGAGGCCTGGGTGCCCGCGGGACTCCAGGCTTCGTGAAGACCACAGAGCGCAGCCCTCAGTGGTACCTTCCCATCCGGTGGCCTGTGCCATGGCCATTAGGGGTTGTCTGGGTGGACACGGCAGCGCCCTTACAGGTAGGCCCTTCTCACCTGGAACACGCGTGACCCAGAGGACTGCAGCTGTCCCTGCACACGTAGATACCTGGTGTGGGTGGTGGTGTGTGTGCATGACTGCCTGGGCGCAAGGCCTCTGCTTCCTCGTCTGGGATGGGGTGACAGCTGCCCCGCAGGTGTGTGGTCAGGAGGAAGGAGACAAGCTCCACGGGCCCAAGTCGAGCCGCCCCTGGGCTGGGCTTTCAGGCAGGAGCCTCTTGTTTCCCGGGGCCGGACCACGCCTGCCCTTCCTGCACGTCGGGGCGCCCGGTGGGGCCATGCTCCGGGCCCAGCATCGGGCACACTGGGCACACTGGGCACACCAGCGGGAGCGCCGGCGGGTTAACTCACCGCCTGCACTCCTGCGAGTAGCGCGGCCCAGGCTCTCCCTGGCGCTTCTCCTGCGGCAGGCGGCGAGGACGCGGTGATGGGAGGCTGCTGGAGCGGCCCGAGCAGGAGCGGGTCGGCGCGGCGGCGTCTCGCCTCTCGGCTCGGCTCGCGGGTGGCTGGGGCTCAGGGGCAGAGCGAGCCGGCGGGTGGTGCACCTGCTCCACTGCATCAGACAGGAGTCCCTCTGATGCTGTTTCTGACCTCGGAATAGAAAGCACTCTGCAAAACCAAGCTGATTCTGTATTTCATTAAATGTCAGTTTACATAAATGTCCCAATTTTAGTCTTTGTGAGATCTGAAGATCTTTCTGGCACTTTCCTTAACACTCCTGATGATTTTTTTTAGTCTGTGAAGGATTACTCTGAATATATAAGGCTGCTGCAGGTAGGGAAAAAATTTCTAATTTTTCTCCTTTTAATTAGAGCTTTAAGTGCCATATCGATTTTGCTCAAAGTCCTTCTAGCTTGTAATTTAGTAAAACCTATTCAAGTGAACACAGACTTCTCCCAGTTTAGTCTCATAATGGTTCATGAAAGCCTTAATTAAGCATCTGCTAAAAAGTAAATGAGTTATGATAATTTTGGTAATGCCTATCACTTTGGAATAACTAATGCCAAACATTTGGAGAAAGAGTTATAATAGCTCCTGCTTTAATTAAATGATAAACATTTCTCCATTAGACTTTGTACGGAAGTCATCGCCCGTTGCAGGCAGTGGGGATATTTATACCTGACGGCAGCCCTGTGCCAAGTCACCAGCATGCAGCCTGGCACGTGCCGTCCACCCAGGCCATGGTGCAATTCAAACAAGCACAGTGCTGCATTTCACTAAAGACAAAAAGCCAGGGTAAGCCAACCTTCACTTGGACCAGAATTAGGGACAGAGCTGCAGCAAGACACACCACGAGTGAATGTTCAAAATATTGGGATTTCCCATTCATTCCTATGTCCATGTGCCACCAGGTCCCTGGGGCAGACGACACAGGACATCACGGACAAGAAAATGCCCCAAGGTCCCGGAGACCCTCCCTGGAGGCGGCGGCAAGAGCAGGTGGGTGCCCCAGGTGGCAGGGGACATGTCCTGGTCACAGTGAAGCGTGCACGCAGGTCCCACGGAGGTGTGGACATGGATGCCTCGTCTGAGGCCAGCGCCCACCTCTCCACAAGCAAGCGGGGGGCCTCCAGCTGCTGTCTGCCTCCCAATCTCTGTGCCCAGCGCAGGCCTCAGGCGGGGAAGGTGTGGCGGAGAGCCAGGCAACAGGAAGGGGAGATGTAGGGCCTTGCCGTGACAGGAGCCACGTGTGGCGTCCCAGCTTCAGGCAAGTGTGTGGCTCTTGTTCAGTAGGCTGGAAGTGGGCGCAGGACTGAGTCCAAAACCTGTAACATGAATGCGTAATAAACCATTTTTAGCTGAGAGCAGCCTTGCCAAAATTAATACACACGCACGCGCACACACACACAGAGGACAGAAATGTTGTGATGTTGGTGATGTGTGTAGCAGAACACAACTCACACTCAACCCTGCAGCCACCAGCTGGAAACCAACCTATCCCCCATGGTCACCATCCCTGGGGCTCCAGCCACCTCCCTTATGGTCACAGTCCCTGGGGACCCATCCCCGTCCCCCATGGTCACTGTCCCTGGGGCCCCGGCCACCTCCCTCACAGTCACCATCCCTGGGGACCCAGCCCCGTCCCGATGGTCACCATCCCTGGGGCTCTGGCCACCTCCTTCACAGTCACCATCCCTGGGGATCCAGCCCTGTCCCTCACAGTCACCATCCCCCACTGTCACCGTCCCTGGGGACCCAGCCCCATCCCCCTTGGTCACCGTCCCTGGGGACCCAGCACCCCCTACAGTCACCATCCCTGGGACCCAGCCCCGTTCCCCATGGTCACTGTCCCTGGGACCCGTTCCTGTCCCTGACAGTCGCCGTCCCTTGGAACCCAGAGCCATCTCCACGGTCACCAGCCCTGGGACTTGGACCTGTCCCCCTTGGTTGCCATCCCTGAGACCCGTCCCTGTCCCCCACGGTCACCATCCCTGGGGACCTGTCCCCATCCCCCTCGGTCACAGTCCCTAGGACCCAGCATGCTGGAAGTCAGACCTACGTCCCTAGGGATCCACCCAAGAAGCCCCACACAAACCCTGTAACCGTTGGCCTCACTGCTCAATAACTGGCAGTGTCTCTAGTTTGTCCCCACTGCCACCCTAGGCCCCACCATTGGAAGCCACAGGTGCCGCTGGAACCAGTTGTGAGGACGCCTGTCTTTGCTGGCCCGGGGAATGGCTTTCTGGTACCCGCGGCCCCCATCAGGGTGCCTCGCACCCCGCGCCCTGCCCTTTCCCCCCCGGACCCCCAGGCCTCTGCCCTGCCAGTCGCCTCCCCCGCCTCCCCGACTGCAGCGGCACTGAGTGAGCCGCCCCACCTGTCCTGCCCCGGGCACCCTGGTCTGTGTCCGCAGCAGCAAGGCCAAGGACTGACGCCTTGATGGTCTCCCAGCCCAGCATGTGCGCCTGCCCCCCCCCACATCAGCCGGGAGCTCGGTCCCCGAGGAGGAGCGCCTGGCCCCTGACCTGTGTCTGGGGCCGCGGGGCCGGCGGGGGGGGGGATACCTCCCGCACATACGTCGCCAGACACCTTGGCCCGGCCTGCTCCCAGCTCCCAGCCCTCGGCGCCCAGTGGCCCCCCTCACCCAGCACAGACCCTGCTCTCCCAGGGACCCAGGCCGGAGCCTGTGTCCCCGCGGTCGTGCTCCTGAACCGAGGGCCGTGCCCTCCCGGGTCCCTAGAGGTGATCTGCAGTACCAGCTTCGCACAGACGCATGGTTTGAATTCCCTTCCAGAGGGTCCTCGGGCAGGTGGGAACTGGGGTGCCCGGAGGTGACCCCGCTTGTAGCAGCAGCGGGCCAGGCTGGAAATGACAGGGCTCGGCCCTGAGCTGTCCCGCTGTCTGCCCAGGAGCCGTGCTAGGGGTGGTGGGGATACTGAGGCAGCCTCGCCCATGGGCGTGTGGGGGAGCCCAGGCCCAGGCCTCCCGCAGAGGAGTCAGGGGCCTGTGTCTCCCGCCTCTGGCTCTCTGCGCCCTTAGTCCCCTCCCCTCGGGGCTGGGGCCTGGCCCCGCCTCCGGCCTACATGATGCCTCACGGGGCTCGGGGCAGGTGTGGACGCTGCGCCTGTGTCGCGGAGCAGGTGTGGACGCCGCGCCTGTGTCCCGCCCACAGCAGAAGCGGCCGGGCCCGTGCGCCCCGTCCTACCGTCCATCTGTAAGAAGAGCCCCTCAAAAGCAGTGTGGAAATGCCAGTGGTGGCGATACCTGGTGCCCGCGGGGCCCTGGGGGGCTGACTGCCGCGCTGCCCCCACCCGGGCCACCCCCTCTCGGGGCCGCGGGCACACGTGCCCTTGATGCCCTTGAGCGGCGCCTGCAGGAGCTCGAGCGCCGCGAGGTCCTGGGCCCTGTGGACCTTTAGCCTCGCCGGGTCCCCCCGCCGGCCGTGCCAGGTCCATGCGCGCTGGATACGACGGCGACCGCAGGACAGGCTCCGGATGGATGGACGAATTCAGGGCAGACGGGGCCCTGTGACGGGTCGGCTGGCACGGAGCCAAGGGCTGCCCGCTGGTTCCGCTGCCGTCCCGAGTCACGGCCGGCTGTGAGCGACCTGCCCAAAGCCCTAAGGTGATGCCTGAACTGCGGTGAGCGGGGGCAGGAGGGCGGCGGGCGGCAGCGGGAGCTCAGAGCTGGCAGCGGGTGCCCAGCCCCAAGCGCCTGCCCATCGGTGCGCCCCCCCGGGGCCGCGGCAGCAGAGCGTCCCGGGCAGTCAGCATGCGCTGCGGCGAGAGGGCAGCAGCGGTCCTGGCTGCTGGGGCCGGGCTGGCACAATGGCCCCAGGACCCGGCCCGAGTGCCCAGAGCCTCCCAGCTGTCCTGACACCGTCTTGTTCCCAACATGCCCCGGATGATCCGCCTGCACCTGCGGGGGCCAGGCACGGACCTGTGCCCTGTTCCCTGGCCCCTGGCCTTTGGAGGGGGCGGCCACGCCCAGACGTTACTACCTGCTGACGGGGTGCAGAGCGCCCCCCGCCACCCGCAGCACTCAGCTGGGGAGTCCTGATTACTCAGAGCTGAGCCGTCTGAGAATCGGGGAAGAGGAATGTTGAGCTGACGAGACTGGGGACCTCAAAACGGCCGACCCCAGGCCAGCAACCTCCCAGTAATGCCGCCTTGCCACCTACCCTAGCTTAGCTGACCCGTAACCTTTGCCCTAAATGGAATGCCACCCTGCCCCCATCTTCCCACCAAAAACTCTTTATAGAGTTTGCAGTTTGCAGTTCGCCAGGCGCGACTTCCCTGGCCCACAGGGGATCGGATTAAACCTGACACTTGGTGCAGAAACCCGGGAGGAGATCGAGGCCCCACGCTGGTGGGGAGCCTCTCTCTTCTCAGCTCCGGGCTCAGTGGCTCCCTGGGGGTACTTGTGACTAAACCTGACATATTCTTAGTAACATGGAGGTGAATTAGGGAAAAGCACATCAACATGGACCAGAGTTGAGACTCAAGGTGCTCCGGGCTTCAGAAAGTCATCACCGGCGTTCTGTCCCCTCCCAGGACAGGCTGCCTGCAAATAATCAAGATGCGTGGTAAAGAGGCAATTTCTGCACCCCCGCGCACACGCACACACTCACACACCCCTTCCCCGTGGGCACCCTCCAAGCGTGAGATCGTCCGCAGGCTCAGCTGCAGAAGGCATGTCCCTGGTCAGGGAATGACAAGCTCAGGCACCGCACCCTGCTCCCCCTACAATTAGTCTGACAACATTATTGAACTATAATTTGAATGATCTTTGAAAAAAGGTCTTGCAGATGTAGGAGAGGGACCTTTCAAGAGCCGCCTGGGGGTATAAGCTATTAACCTTTACCAAGCTAATTAAAGCCACCCAGAGTTGTAATTGTATGTAAATGAACTTTTGCATCAACTTCCTCCCTGATGGTTTTAGGGGGTCTTGGGGATTTCTTTTCTTCTTTAATTTTTCATTTTGAAAACGATGCCTTGCCAACACTATTTACATGTAAGCCGCGAAGGGACATCCTAAACAGGGTGATTATTTTAATAAAGACTGTTTCTTTCAACATTATTAATTATAGGCTGATACCATCTTGAAGACTTTTTCTGCACAAGAATTAATTCAAGGAAATTTGAAAAATAAGCTCTTGGTCAGATTGCGACAAATTGCCCCATCATTTCCCGCAGGTCTATCTACATACACGTAACATGTGGACCTCAGTGACTGTTGGTTCTGTGCACCTGCTGGTCCAGGGGACATGAGGGAACACCCCCTGTCCTGGGGTGAGGGGCTGGGAGGGGGTCTCCAGCCAGGTGGGGAGAGCAAACCGAACCATCCTGGAGTGCCTTGTTGGATTTCACATCTTCACTCCAAATTCACGGACCCTGGAAGCACTTGTTTTGAAGTCTTGGTTGAAACGAAGCCAGGATTTTTAAGAAAAATAACGTAATTGATACTTTAAGATGTGAACTGTTTTAAGCTTTTAGTGGCTTCTGTAAAATCAGATTGGAACAACTTCAATCGCAGCTGCACCCAGACTGGAAAAAAAATCCAGTTATACTCCAGCGGCACCAGTAGGCGGAGCATGGCGGCCAAGGGTTTCTGAGCCAGGGGCCACCCACCAGGCACTGAGCTCCGGTGATGCTGCCCCGGAAGGGGCTGCGGAGCCAAGTCCTCTGCTGACCTTCCTCCTTCTCCATCAGCTTTATGGCATTTCATCTCCACCCTGAACAAAGTGGGCAGGAAGTACCTAAAGCATGTTCTGGAGGGGCATAGAAGTGGGGGACCCCCGCTCACACATCCAGGGCGTTTGCACACATTCCTTCAGAGGAGGTGAGCTGCAACAGTGACAGGCCGTGAGGGCCAAAAGGGGGTGCTGGCCCCTGGTGTGTTTCTGTAGGGTGTGTGCAGGTATGGGGGGTACTAGGGTGTTGGGTGTGCGGGTTAGGGTGCACAGGATGTGAGGGGGTGCAGGGTGCACGAGTGTGAGGTGCTCGGGTCAGGGTGCACGGGTGTGCAGGGTGTGGGGGTGCGGGAGGTGCAGGAGGTGTAGGGCTGGGGGTGCAGGTGTGGACGGGGTGCACGTGGTGTGTCGGTGTGTGGGGGTGCGAGTTGCCGGGCCTGGGGGAGCCCTGCCAGCTGGGCTCATGTGTCAGCTGCTGGGGGAGGCCGGGGGACTGGAAGGTGAAAAGTTTGCCAAAATAAAGAATTGCTAATTTTGGTGTAAAAACCAAAACCGCAGCAGGCGCTGCAGTTTCTTGAGCTCCCCCCCACACACACACACAGGCTCTCTGTGGGAGGGACGTTTTGTGCAAGAATCGGTGGTTTGGCTCCTTTGTGGAGCGGGTCAGTCCTCACCATAGGGCGGGCTCGGGGGTGACCCCCGGACCCAGACCAGCCCCCACCCCCGGACCTGGAACAGCGGCCGCCGGCAGACAGCAGCTGCGCACCGGTGCTCCCCGAGCCTCTCCACAACTTCAGGAACAGCCGAACTCCAGGCAGCCGGCGGCAGGCGGCAGGGAACCGCGGCCCGAGCAGCCCTGACGCCCCCGCCCGCCGGGCCCTCGCTGCCCCGGGCCCTCGCTGCCCCGGGCCCGTGGGCCCGCGCCTTGGGAGTGACTGGGGCGGGGAGCGCTGCGAGCCCCTTGCAGGGAGGTGCTGGGTGTGCAGAAGGCCGCGGGGGATGCCAGCCGGGCAGCCGCTGGGGGCAGCCTGATGGCCGTAGGTGGCCCCCAGGAGGGTGTTGCCCCGCGTGCCTCAGAGGTTGTCGGGGTCCCTGGGTGAGCGGGCACCTGCCGGGGCTGTGACGGGGCAGCTCACTGGGCAGGTGTCGCCAATGTCCGCCTGGGTGCAGACAGCAAGGAGCTGTCCCTTCTGGGGACAGGTGAGGTGTGTTTCCGCAGAGGAGAAATCGAGGGGGTGCTCAGCGACCGTCGGTAAGGAGCAGGGTGGCCAGGGCGGCGGTGCTGCGCGGCCTGGCTCCGGACCCCACTGCCGCCCGCGCACACCTGCGTCTGTGAGCATTGCTTTGCCTAGGCTGCCGTCACCAGGTGGCGTCCGCGACAGAAGGTCACCATCTTGCAGTTCTGGAGGCCGGCGTCAGCGCCAGGGTGCCCCTGGGTTTGCCCCCCCCCCCGGGGGGCTGAGGTGGGGTCTTCTTGCCGTGTCCTCCCTCTGGCTGCACCAGGACCAGGTGCACCTGCGGGCGCATCTTGGGGACACAGGTGGGCCAGCGGCGGCCGGTCTGACGGCACAGGGGAGCCCAGCGCCGACGCCTCAGGCTGAGTCCACACGGTCAATGTTCGGGAATTATTCTTATGGAAGCATCCGGTCCATTTGGGCATGTGCTTTGCTCTCATCTGTGTGAGCTGCTAACGAGTCTGCACACACCAGGTTTTCTTTTTCTTTCTTCTTTTTAATTTATTTTTTTAAGATTTTATTTATTTATTTATGAGAGACACACACAGAAAGAGAGAGAGAGACAGTGAGGCAGAGACCCAGGCAGAGGGAGAAGCAGGCTCCATGCAGGGAGCCCGAAGTGGGACTCGATCCCGGGTCTCCAGGATCACGCCCCGGGCTGCGGGCGGTGCTAACTGCTGGGCCACCCGGGCTGCCCCACGCTGGGTTTTCAAAGTGTAAACACAGCCTGTTTTATTATTTTGTGATACTTGTGGAAAGTGACTCTGTGATGACAGTGTCTTGTTTTTGTACCTTTGAGTCCAGCTTGGTCAGTGCCCTTCTCTTCCCTGTGTGCCAACCTCCGTGGCTAAAATCCACTAATGCAAAAGGAGATGTTTCGGCAGAATCATGACGTACGAAGCCACCGCTCGTCCTGCGGAAGCTTTAGTTACACAAGGTGGTGGGTGAGCCCGAGTGGGGGTGCTTGGCGGTAGGTTTGGGGTGGGCGTGAGGTAGGGCATTGCCGTGTCTCGTCCAGGGAAGAGCCGTTGCAGAAGGAGCTCGCGGCGCACCCCGGGCTCTGCTGCACCAGGCTCCCCCCAGCCGCTGGGCCTTCTGACCCACCTGACCTGTCACGTACGGAAAATCACGTTCTGGTCTTGGCCCCTGATCCTGGCCAGAGCCCGGAAATCCCTGGGGTGGAGGGGGCACGCTTGTGGAATCGGGTGACTGGGCCTTGCTGGCACGTGTGAGGGTTCCCTGAGCTCCATGAGCTACAGCAAGTTCCTGACCCCGACACGGAGCCGCCGGTTCAGCAGCACAGGGGGGCAGCTGGCGTGGGGGGCGGCCTGAGGCACGGAGCCCTCGGCCCAGGGCTGCAGGGACCCCAGGTGGATGACCCCGGGCTGCACGCCTGCTGCTGCTGCGGGGGCCGGTGGTGTGTGGAAGCCCACGGAGTGTCCTTGGTGAGCAGACGGGACCCGAGTTTGCACAGTCCGTGGGGAGTGGGCC